AAGAAGAGAACACGCAGCTAAGATAAACTTTCTAGGTGAAAACTGTCATCCACATTTGGTCATTAGAGCAGGGGTCGGCAACATTTTTGGCTGGAGTGCCAAAATCATCCCAACCTCTATTCACACTTTGACTTGGCATGCCAGAGATGGGGGGGGAGCCACAAGGAGTCCAATCCTCATTGCTGGCAGTGTCTGCATGCATGCCTCTGGGTGGATGGTGGAGGATGGGCTGGGGTTGTGTTGTCCCAGCCCCTTCCCTGCCACACGCTGCAAGCCACAGAGCCGATGCCAGGGCTCCAGAGCCCAGTGCAGCTGTTTGCAGCCTCCTGGCTGCCACAGGCAGCCCAGGCTCTAGGCAGCTGTAGCAGGTGACTAGGAGGCTGCAAACAGCTGTACCAGGCTCTGCAGCCCTGGCATCAGTTCCATGGCAGCTGTGCATGCTCCTTAGGGTGGATGGCAGGGGAGAAGCTAGGGCTGTGCTTCCCCCATCCTTTTCCCTCCATGTGCTGTGAGCTGCACATGCACCTGCTGCTGCTCTGGAGCCCAGCACAGCTGTTTGCAGCCTCCCAAAGCTAGCCCAGACTCTGGACAGCTGTAAAAGGCAGCTGGAAGGTTGCAAACAGCTGTGCTGGGCTCCACAGCCCTAACATCCACTCCATGGCAGCAGTAGCAGCTGCACATGTGCCTCTGAGTGGACAATGGGGGAGGAGCCAGGATTACACTGCCCCAGGCCCCTTCCTGACCATGTGCTCAGAAGTACATGCACAGCTGCTGCAGCCATGAAACTGGTGCCAGGCTGCACAGCTCCATGCAGCTGTTTGCAGCCTCCTGGCTGCAGCCAACCCAAGCTCTGGGCAGCTGCTGGCAGAAGCTGCCCAGAGCCTAGGTCAGCTGCAGCATGCCAAGGAAAATGGCCTTACATGCCGTGCTGTGGCATGCATGTTGGTGGTTGCCAATCCTTACCAATGTCCAGAGTGAAAAGGGCCATACAGGCAACCCCTGCTTAGCGCTCTTAATTGGTTCCTGAAAAAAGAATGTTAAGCGAAATGAGTGTTAAGCAAAACCGAAAGTATGTAATGACCCAAGATGGCGACTGCAATTTCTTTTAATGACCCAAGATGACGGACTGTGAGCATTATAGTAAAACTCGCTGAGGACTAAGTGAAATCAGGTATCAATTTAAAGTGAGCGTTACAGCAAAATAGCACTAAGCAAAACAGCATTAAGCAGGGGTTGCCTGTAATTACAAGAACTGACATGCTTTCTCCACTTAGCAGGGATCCTGGTTCTCTCTCATAAAAAAAAAAAAATAAATAAATCACAAATTCTCTGATGAATAATTGCACCAACAGTCCCTGACCCCCACCCTGCTGGAGGGGGCCCCCAGCTGCTAGGGCTATGGGGCCAGGGACCCAAGTCTGCAGCCCCTTTCCCTCAACACCAGGGGCAGCTGCAGCAGAAGTAGCATGGAGCCGGCTCTCCCACTGCTCTGCCTGCTCGGGTGGGGGTGGGGCCAGCTCCTGGCTCCCTGCAGCCCTGCTGGTGCCCCCAGCTATAACTTGCAATCCTCGAGCCCTGCCAGAGGGGCCCCCAGCCCCCTGCATACCACTTACTTGAGGCTCCAGGAGAAGAGTGAAGCTGAGTGGAGCCGTGGCTGACAGTCTCAGGCCCCGGCCTTCCCCTCCCCCTCCAGGCAGGGCTGGGGGTTTCCCGCCCTGTTTGCAAACAGCTTTTACAGAATGGAGCTCAACCAGCCTTCAGAGCTGTTTGCAAAAGCAGGGAATCCACAGGTTTCTCTGCTAAAAGAAATCCGTGTTCTCTCTGATAAAAAGGGGAAATCCATGGTTTTCTCTGTTTTTCCGTGGGAAATGGAAAACCTGGATTCCTGCTTATCAGTAAACCTGAGGTGACTCTAATGCAACAGTACAAGTTACAGCATACTGTAAGTTGATACAAATCCCTGTATAGCACAGCAGAGAAAGATCTCAAACGCTATTAGTATTTAGCAAGTATGCAAATGACACTGTAAATTTAGAAAACAGGCTATGTTTAAGGCAGAGAGATAAAAGTGGAGGTGTACAAGTCTTAGGATTTATAGACTGTAAGCCCGGAAGGGACCTTGGAAGATCATTGAGTCCAGACCCCTGCACCAAGCAGGAAAGGTAACTGGGGTCAGGTGACCCCAGCAAGGTGACTGTCTAGTCTCCTCTTCAAGATTTCCAGGGTAGATGATCGCACCACCTCTGGAGGAAGCTTATTCCAGTTTGGACACCCTGACTGTGAAGAAGTTTTTCCTACTGTTGAGCCTGAATTGATCTTCCAGGAGTTTGTGACCATTACTCCTAGTTCTCCCCTCGGGTGCCCTGGTGAACTAACGATCCCATTTTCTGTCCCAAGTATTTTTTTGTAGCATGTTCAATAAGATATTCCAGAAAAAGTTTTGAAACCAAGGCACCCTTGCCATCTCCCAGATTTTTGTCTTTGGATATCACTCACAGCAAGGGATATTAAGCAAAGGAATCAGTACTACAGCCTGTAAAGAAGAACCTTATTTCACACATCAGAGCATGCAAGACAACTTGAATCAATTATCTCCCAGTTGTTTTAGCTTAAAAAGAAGCTGGGGTGGGGGAAGGAAGACATCTTAATTACTGTTTGGGCTTTCATAACATCACTCATCATTCTTAAGGGGATGAAGACATTTATGCAGAATGTGCTTCTAAATATGGCTATTACATGCATTAAAAGAATACTTACGTAGTTTTATTTATGAAAGTAAAAGTCTGTGTTAACTGTGAGCAGAAGGTTGCAATGATGAAGCCACTGCTGCTTCACTTACTTCCTTTCAGTTTATATGGATACCATTTCTTACTCCCCAGTAAAGTATTGATTGCATCACCTCCATTTACTTTAGGTGTTTGCCCAGTAATTTAATGCTGTTTAGAATAAGGGTTTATGTCCTTCGGGTTCACTGAAAGTCAGTTACAACTCAAATGTTTGGCACAGTACTTCCAATGCAGAGTCTAGCAACTGGTATTTGTGCAGCACAAAGAGGTAAATGCATTTACCAGGCACAGCTGAACCACAGGATTCACTACCATTTTGCAAATGAGTTGTCTCCCTCATTTCAAAGGAGCATAGTCTCCAATGACACCCAAAAGATGCCAGGTAAATATTCCTAAATTCTAGCCTATCCAGCAGGGAACTAGTGCATTTCTTTGAGTCATTTGAGTCCGTCCAATTATTTTCACAGAAACTTTTACTACAGTAGTGTATGGTCACAGTCAAGTTTGTCTCAAGTCAGCAGTAGTACAGGAGACAATAAAACCTGTTGTTTCAAGGCCATCACCTTAGTCCTTCAAGTCACTTAAGAGCCACTTCACATTAGGAAAGATATGAAATCAATTAGACTAGGGCTCAGAGACAGTGGAGGGTGCACAGCTTTAACCCACCCCCCCCACCCAGCAAGTCAAGCTTTCCATGCAGCTAGACCATGTCTACATGAATTGCCCCTTCCTTATTTGTTACACTCATCTCAGTTTAGATCAAGATTGAGGCAGGGACCAGATGTTTATGTATCAGGGGTGGGTGAAATACAACCTGCAGGCCGGATGTGGCCCGCTAGGCCATTCTATCCAGCCCACAGGGCCCCTAAAAATTTAGAAAATTAATATTTGTCTACCTCGACTACCTGTCATGCAGCTCTCGATGGCTTGCCAAAACTCAGCAAGTGGTCCTCCTCCCGAAATAATTGCCCACCCCTGTTGTATATGAACATACAAAATTCCTACCAGCAAATTAATGCAAAATTAGCAAGTACAGTTATGTAGTACTTTGCAAGTAACAGGGTAACTGTAGTCTGTATTTAAGTTTTATATTTTGTGATGGTTTGATTCCTAGAACTTGGTTTAAGTGCATGTCTGATATCATGGAAAATTATCTATTACACTTTTACTACACCTGAGCAAAACTCTGTACTGAAATTTTCGAAACCCAGAGTTCTGGCCTGCATTTCATAAAAAAAAATAAATAAAAAAAAAAAAAAAAAAAAAAAAAAAAATCAGAGCCCAGTACTACTGTAGCCAAAGCTATGAGCAGGAGTCTTAATTATTGTTTACTACTCTATTTTTTTTTTTCTTCTACTGTTAGTGAGCAAGCTGTGGCTCACAAAAACTGATGCACCTTTGATTCATTTTGTTTATAATGTGCACCTCTACCTTGCCATCAGACTAAAACACAGCTCTCTCTCTGTTGATGGCAATGAACAAATATTAAATTGCCTTGTAACCATTAAACAATAGCACCTACACCAAACCAACACAGATTTACTTCCCTGTGTTGCACAAATTTGCAGTAATCCAGCCAGAATAATATTCATAGACCATTTTATAAAACCAAAAGACCTTAACAGTGACTTCAGTACCTCCATTTTAATTGCCTAGAGCTGCCACCTTTATGTGGTTTAGATTTTGGAATGCCTCTAAAATGGCTTAGAAGCTAGTGGAATCTCTAATAACTGATCTTCAAAATGCTATTGCAAGATCAAAACACACAATTGTTAGCCATCATAGAGGCTTAGTAATAAATTACCATATTGTAATATTTATACGAGTTCATAGTTTAAATCCTAGCATTGTTGACTTAACATATTTATTGAAGTCAATCCTATTTTGTTCAACATATTGAGCATATAGTTTAACTCTGGTAACCACAGCTGTGACTTCGTTAACGATCGCAATAAATCCTACTTAAAGCAGACAGGAAAAGAATTATGCAAATGAATTCTTATCTGTTTTCTACCCAACATGTACTTGATAACTGAAGATCCACCAAAAATAATCTTTTGAATAAGTACTATTATGTCTTATTTGGACCTTATATTTTACATGGAAGTCAGAAGAGCAGCTTAGCATATCTGCAAAGTTTTATTTTAGAAACTACATTTACAGAATACAGAGTATATAACCATATATGACAAAAGAAAAAATTAAAGCCAGAGCAAATATACAAAGCTACATGATTAAAAAGGGAAGGACAGATGCAGATTGGTACGTCACTTATTCACAGAGTAGCGTCTATTTAAAAATAAAAACTTAGTTCTTTGAACCGTTTTTTCCAGAAGGTGTGTAATGATTAAAACCAGTTCACAGCGGCTTTGATCATTAGGATGTGAGCCATCCGCAAGTTACACCTTGCAGCTAGACAGGATGTCTTCCACTAATCTCTTGTAGACCCAAGCATCACCTTTAAGCCGTTGCCTCCTAATACCCACTGCTTCAGGTTTACTAAGCTGGCATACTTCCAGCTCAAACTGCATTGTCACTTTGCCAAAATCTGACTGTGTTTTGCACTTCAGGGTGTACCTGTACAAAACAAAAAAGTAAAGAGAAATAGGAGTTAGAGTTGTCAAAGTTTCAGTCGTGCAAAACATCCAACAGGTTAAAAAAAAACCCAGAGAGAGATGACATCCACCAAAAATTTAATGCTTTCTACATAAAGCTGCTATTCAACAGGGAGCAAAGAGGTCAACCTCTCAACCTGGCCTCAGTGAAATTAAAGCTATTTTTTCCTCTTGACACCTTATCCTGAACTACTAAGTGGAGAGTGTAGGCCTTCCCAGCCACAACAGCTGCGGTCTGTCTCTTCTAACAATTAACATCAATGGCTAACGAGTGAAAGAGCATGGGGATGATTTAATATTTCTCCAAGGAGTATGGTCTACAGATAAGACAGCAACATTCCTCTACCAAGGGTACCCTTGAACTCCTGCATAAGGCTCATGTTGCAGCATTTGTCCAGATGAAGAGGAATTGAGCCAAACTGCAGATGCAGCATTGCTAGGGGCCAACTGCAACTCATCCCTTGCCAATCTGAAGCAAAAGCCCAGGGTATGAACTTTGAATCATGTCATTGAAATTATAGATCCACTTCGGTGCAGTTAAGCGTATCTTTTTTGTATCAAAGTTTAACACCACAAGATTAAGATACTATAACTAAAGACTTTTTTTTTTTAATTCTTAAATGAAAAAGACAAGACAACACCCCCCCCCCCCCCCCATAAATTTGCTTCTATACATGGAAAATAAGTGCATTGATATTTTCCATGCATAGACCCTAATTAGTGGAAGGTCATTTTTAATCCTG